GATGGTGTTGGGGAGGGGCGGGCAGGCAGGGCTAGGAGGGTCTTAAGAGGACTTGGAACAGATGGAACCCATCTGTCCTTCTTCCCTATTCTTAAGGGCCACATATGACTCCACAGGTGGTTATAGGATTAACTACCAGTTCATTCTCAAAATGCTGCTTTGATCTCAGAGGGTTGATACTTTTAATTTGTAATTTTTTGTAAAACTTTTTACAAGATAGTAAAGTATTTCACCAGAATACCAGTTTCAATCCGTCCGTGGTCTGATTTTTATATAATTTAGTGGTGCTTTAGAAACTTTGTTTTGTTGTTTCTGAGCTCAACAGCTCAATCCTCTCTTGCCTGTATCTACCTAAGACCAATGTGAACCTTTGTATTTTGCTCCTAATTTTGGACTCAGTGGAAGTGTACTGTTTACATGTACAGACGCCCCATCCCTGTGTGTTCTGCAAGACGCGTGCTCGAGGAGGAAGATGCACCTCACTAGCTCATCTGCTTAGCAAAGCCACAAAGCAAAACCTCTCACTTTGTACCCGTTTCCACCTAAAAACAAAACCCTACACCACCTTGAACTCAGACTTGCCAACACACTCTGCCTGGTGGACGCCCTGTGCCTCTATCATGTGTTCACTTAGGAGAGGAATCAAGATAGCGCCTTCTGTCCGCTGGGTATGGGCTAGCACACAGAGGAGACAGCAAGGCAGGACTTCACTGCCCAGCTCTGGGAGGAAGTTCTTTGGGCAGCAGGCAATAGAAGAAGGTCAGGAGGACTCATGGGTCTTCGGGAGCAAGCCAGGCAGGATTTAGGGACAACACAAAAAGTCATCAATCTGCTGGCATAACTGAGATGCATGTTGGAAGAGCATAAATTCCATATCAGGTGAGACTGTGACTTTCAGTGCAGATGGTACAAGCACTTCTTCAGGGTTCCCATCACCTGGGGAGGGTCAGGGGCTCCAGACAGTAAGCATAAGGCACTTACCGCAAGCAGTGGATGGCACCAACTTTTAAAGGTGACTTTATTAATCAATGGTTTCACCGCTAAATTATATTTTTACAGATATGCACCTATGCAACTTAATGTGGCTCTTCTAAGCAGGTGAGGACCTCCTCCTCAATGCTCTATAAAGTGTTTGTGTTCTGTAGAGTTCCCAGTAAATGTGGCTTAATACTTTAATTCTTAGGATGTGTCTTTCTACGTGATGCGGCTACTAAATTCTGTTTTGTTTGTGGAATGACTAGCACAGGCCGATGCCCTCTTCCCCTCACTTACCAGAAGACCAATGAGCTGTTAATGAGCGGTTATCTCCATGGTATTACTGCTAAATGCACTGATGTCATAAGTATGTGGAACCCTTTTCCTTTTGAAACTGTGTATCATATACCAGACTGAATCTACTTAATAAACACTGAACAACAAACCCAAAGCTGAGCTTTGCCTGTGTCCCACCTCCAGCAGCACTGTCAACCTTTCTTGGTCCTTCTGAATCTAGTCTGGAGACATCTCCCTTCCAATAGAGTTCACCTTTCCCTAGCTATAGTGGGCTCACAGACATACATCATCGATAGGTTTCCATTATGGCACCGAGCCTGTTAGAAAAGGAGGGAATGGTGCTTTTCCACTGTGCCAAGCACTGGTGGAAGGTCTCTTGCCATGCAGCCAAGTTTCACAGTCACCTCGTTCCCCCTAGAGGGCTACACAGCTGTGTGACAGCAAGGCCTGTGCTCTCTCCTGGTAGGCAGGTGCCAGGCCAACTGACTGAGTCTGAGTTCATAGCCACCCCCAAGGAGCCTGGAAAACTCCTAGTCCTCAACATCCAGTAACTTGACATCCAATTCTAGGCAAAACCCTATTCCTACCTTGAAAGCAAACAAAGGCCACTTTCCCTAGTATTTGCTTACATAGTTTCCACCCTATTAGTCATTTTTAGGTTAAGCTTTTAGGAATCGCTACAGGAACAAGTTGACTATCCTAAGTTTGAAGGAAATTTTGAATGCAAAAGTTAAAAGCAAAATTTTTTACTATTAAACTGTATGTGCAGATATAAGCAGGCTTTTGATTTTTTTTTTTTTTTTTGGTGTGTGTGTGTGTGTGTGTGTTTTTGTTTTGTTTTTTGAGACAGGGTTTCTCTGTGGCTTTGGACCCTGTCCTGGAACTAGCTCTGTAGACCAGGCTGGTCTCGTGTTTTGATTTCTGAAACAGAATCTCTACATAGCCCTAGCTGTCCTGGAACTCAGATCTCAGATCTGCCTGTCTCTGCCACCCAAGGACTATGATTAAAGGTATGCCCAGCACACCTGGCTACATTACCAGTTACTAAAACATAAATTCCGTGAAGCAGCCAAATGCTCACATTAATGGCTGAGTGCAAGGAGTCTGCAACCCTCACCGACTACATACCTGAGCTGTGCAGATAGGGTTAGGTATGGCATAGCATAAGATGTGCCTCCTCACCTCATCTTTGCCAGATAAGGGTGCCAACAGCCAGCAAATCCTCAGTAATGCCAAGGAAGTTTGCATCCTGCCAAAGCAAGGGACCACAAAAGCCCCACGACCTTGACTGTACCTAAAGAACAAGATCGTGCAGGGCCTCGTGGCTTCTCAGCCATCAGAAAACACTTACCTCCCCAGTGAGGCTGCTCCTCCTCAGAACACAGGAATCCAGGGGAAGCAGCTGGAGTACAGAAAACACTGGATCGTTTTCTTGCTTCTTTAGGTGGGACGTCAGACCTCACTGCTGTCAACAGTTGACACAAGACATCATCAAATGGGAAATGCCATCCTAAGCAATGACAAGTTCACTTAATACTGGCAAACCTTCCCTTCATCCACTTGGGAAAAACACATTTTCCCTTTAAATTACCTGGAAAGCCTCAGTAGAGGGCTAGCCTTGCATGCACAAAGCTTTGGATTTCATCGCCAGTACCCACATAACATGGTGACTGGTCCATACCTAGCACCTGGGAAGTAGAGGCAGGACCAAGCCTGGGATAGGAGATCCTGTGAAAAAAAAGAATACCACTGGGTGGTACATGCCTTTAATCCTAGCACTCAGGAGGCGGAGGCAGAGGCAGGCAGAGGGATCTTAGCTGACAGCTATCCTGGTCTATACAGTGAATTCCAGGCAATACAGAAGGTCTCTATTTGAGACCTTATCTTAAAAAGCCCAAAACACCCCTCAAACACAATAAAACAAAAGCAAAAACAACACATGGGTGAGCACAGTACTTAGAAAATCTTTCATGGGGCTGGAGAGATGGCTCAACGGTTAAGAGCATTGCCTGCTCTTCCAAAGGTCCTGAGTTCAATTCCCAGCAACCACATGGTGGCTCACAACCATCTGAAATGAGATCTGATGCCCTCTTCTGGCCTGCAGACATACACACAGACAGAATATCATATACATAATAAATATTAAAAAAAATCTTTCAGTCTTTGTGAAGGTCTATCTCCCTCCATCCCCTTTATGAATTCAGTCTAATTAGGCTTACCATCCAGGAGCTATTACACAGAGGCAGGTTGTGTGCATTATTAGAGTGCAGCAGGTGCACTCCCCAGGCGTGTGCCCAGAACAAATACCCATCTACTGAGGCAAGACAGCACCCCAACAGTAGTACGCCAGGTTTCCAGATCAGTGTGAAATGGAGACAAGAAGTGTGAGTGCTGCCCATTTGGGGGTGTAAAGTAGCTGTAGAGAGGTTACAAGCCCCACCTTCTCTACAGCTCCCAACAGTCCCCTAACATGGGGAAATCCAGTATGGGAACTCACCCCTCTCAAATGAGGTTCTATTTTCTCTTTATTTTTTCAAGGCAGGGTTTCTGTGTAGTCTTAGCTGTCCTGGAACTCTGTAGACCAGGCTGGCCTCAGACACACAGAGACCTGCCTACTTCTGCCTCCTGAGTGTGGGAATCAAAGGCCTGCACCACCACTGCACGGCAGAAGCTCTAGTTCATCCAGAGCATGTTAGCTGACCAGAAAGACATCATGTATACCTTGTGCCTTCCTTAGCTTGGTTTTCCAATCTCAGCGCTGTACCAGACAGCTACAGAGTGAGGCTGAACACTGGGTGCCATCTCATAGCCTGCCTGGCACTGCCACCTCAGCACAGCCCACAGGCCTGGGTCCTCAGCCCCCTCTGAGGCGACGGTGAAGCATGATAGCAGCTACTTCAACTCTCAGGTTTGTGGAGCTGTTAATCCTGGCTTGGCATAAGTACCTCCCAGGTGGCAAGCGTGCTAATCACTCCATGTCGATACAACTAGCAACCCACATTTGGGCAAGACAGTGGCAGGTGAAGTGCTATGTTATGTCCAAGCCCAGAGTGTTATGTGATACAGCTCATGCTCTGCCTCATATGATACAAGTGACACGATGCTGTCCCCAGCAGAGTCTGAACTGAAGACATGAGGGACGACTAGACATGGTAGCATGCACAGAGGCATGCATCACACAGTAGAAATGTTCAACAGGAGCTAGAAAACCTGTGCTCAAGCGCCCATGCCTCTCCCATTCACAGATATTATGCTTAGGTTCACTTCCATCACCTCAATTCTGCTTAGTTATGTTTGAGTACAATCATAAAATCGTGCACTTGGGCACTCCTGAAGTAGTTACTCCTGGAGCACCGGGCATCCTTCAGGCTGCTCAAGCAGCAGTGACCCTGAATCGTCTCACACTATGACAAGGTCAGGACGAGTCACTGCCAGGAGGTTACCAATCATGGGAACCCATGTGGAGATCTCCATTTGAGGCAGGTGGTTTGAATGAGTTCCTAGGAGGAAGTAAGCCCTTTAAAGTTTCTATCTGAAAAGTTCCCATCACTTCTATTAGCTTTCTAGTTCTACTACACCCAGTGGAAATGCTCATCAAATCAAGAGATCAAAGACCAGTGGAGCTGCCAATTCATTGTGCAAAGGATCCATCAAGAGGACCCTGTCCAGCTCTTACTTTACCAAACCACCCCATACTAACAGGCAGCCACAGAGGACAGGGAGACAAGTACAGGTTGGACAGGTTTATTATTTTTTTTTTCCAATACCAATGAGACATACAAGAGCAGCGCTTTTCTGAGCAGCCCCATGGACCAGACCATTGTCAAGTTTCACTTCTGAGACGGCAAAGGTCTTAGAAGAAGACTGGACATGCTTGGCTCCTGCTCCTGGTCTTTGGTAGAAGAGACTTATGAGCACACAACATGAACTCGGCCAATACTGAATCTGTATCCCATCACTACCAGCTCCTCACTCACAGGACACCCTTCCCCCAAAAGACAGTCACCTCAGATGAAATGGAGGGGCAACTTACAGAGAAAAGTGAAATTCGCTCAAGGCACACAAATTTTCATACTTCATACAGTAGCACTCACACAGGAGACAGCTAAATTAGACAAGGGCTCCCAACTTTCAAGTGAAGATACAAGAAACGGCAGGGACTGGGATGAGGCCAGACAAATTCTACTTGATGGAAACGTGTTAGGAGAGAGGCAGGCAGCAGGCATGGCTTTGTTCCCCTGAAATCTACTGTCAAAAGTAAGTCAAAAGGAGCCTAGCGATCCCCAATATTGCTTTGACAGGTGACGACCTTGGAGCCAGATCCAAAAGGCCTGCCTGGGGGCCGCCCAAGGAACTCACCCATGAATCCAGAAGCACTGAACACTGGTGATGGTGATTTGTCATATATGGCAGCGGAGCAGCCACTCAAGGCTGGAAGAGAATAGATACAAGGAACAAGACATGTCTGCTCAGTGGTGTGTGAGCAGCTGTCTGTGGCGCTGGAGGCTGTGGGAGATTCCCTGGTGACAGGTGACAAGGCACAGGGCCAACCATAGGTCACAAGTCAGTAACTTCCTTCTCACATCAGACAGCACAGCACTCAGTGGCTCTGACAATTGGTGCACAGAAGTAAACAACACCATTTTAATCAAGGGTGCTGAAGACGTAAAATAAGGAAGAGATGGTCATGTTCTCTGTACAATACATCCATTTACAGAATTGGCCGGTACTGTGTACAACATATAAATACAAGGTAAAACATTAGAGGTGCATAGAGCATACTTACAGAAGCCAAAAAGTTCACTTTATACATCCAAGAATAGAGTTAAAAATATAAAAATAACAAGACTGCTTGGAAATGTAAAATGACTTTCACATACACAGGTGCATGGGTGCCCACTCCCACGGTCAAATGTGACGGGGTGGGTGGTAAGCAGGAGTCCCCTGCAAACATCTGTACAGTTGACTCTCGAGGTCTACAGATAGCATTTCCATAGCAGACAGCCCTATTTCCATACCCCATTGTTCAAGAAGGGCTATTCAAGCTTCCAAAAGAATCTGTGGATCTGTGGATTACAGACAGATAAAAGTTCCAAACTGGGTAAAGCACCAGAACCAAAGGTCAACTTGGCTCCATCAACTGGCAAATGACAGAAATATGACATCAAGATCAGCAGGTGTTTGATCCCCTGGTGGGCAATGACGGAAGTTACTTCAACCCTGTGTGGCTTCTGCAACCATCAATTCCCCAAGCAAAGTAGCAGAAGATGGCAGGGAGGGGCAGTGGAAGACTGACATTCCTGCTCAGTTCAGGTAGGTGAGTTCCATCCACGGAGAACCCAACCTTCCTGCTTCAATTTCAAGTCCATCTGGGTGTCAGACAGGTTGCCCTGCCACACTATACTACCTGACTCCAAGAGGGTTAGGCTGGCTGGTTGTGGGCAACCACAAGTCCACCTGGCCCCTTGAAAACCCTCCCAGCAAGACTAGAAGGGTGTCAAGTGACAGAGCGCTCAAGCACTATAAATTTTAGGGGAAGGCAAGATTTATCTTGCCTACAGATAGTTCTTTACAGCAAGGATATTCTGTATACAGATTTAAGATCAACCATTATTAAAATACACACACTAAGTGTACAATGTTTCCAATGGCCATAATTTATTATCTCACCACAAGGCACAATACACAGAGCTTTGAGGGTCCAATGCAGTCATCATGGCAGAATGCTCCACAGCCTTGGCACATGATCATGGCTTTCAGGCTGCATGCACACTGGAGAGATATGCTTTCCACTGCACTGCTGTCAGTGAACATTTGCAGGGAGAGTGATGCAGTGTGGCCTGCACCAAAGCTGGCTTTGTGGCTCAGCTGCACCACACTGCCAGCAAGGCCTTTGGGAAAGGTGGCAGAGCTGGAGGAGTAATTAAAGCTGGTGGGACTCAGCTGGAGTTTAGAGAACTTCCCATACAAAGCCTGCTTGATGTTGAGTTGGGAGGGGATGGAAGAAGGCTCCAGGGGCTGACTTAGCCCTTTCCCTGGCTCTCTGGGTAATTTCCAGAAAGGCAGGTCTACAACAAAAGGCATCCCTTGCAAGTGACCCACTAGTTCCAGAGGACTATACCCTGCAGCTTTTCTATTCTCTGCATCTGCTTTAAGGGGACCCCTTGAGAATATCTGCTCAGTCTTGATGCCACCAGGAGAATCAGGTGATGGCTTTGGCGTCCAGTCTTCCCTTGCAGTCTGTATGCCATCAGATACTGAGTTTTTGCTTGGTTCTATCTTCCTACTGGGAAAAACTGGAGGGACCTCAGCAGGTAGTGGTGTCTGCTCTTCAGACCTGGGGCACTGAAGGGTGGGAAATGTATTCCTAGGACCAAATAGTTTCTTCTCTTGACCACCAGCATTGTTCTGATCACCCAGGGTCCTATCTGTCTGCTCAGGACCAAAGGAGAGGCTCACATTTGCAGAGGAGAAACATGGCACTTCGGAGGTAGTGTGATTCCCTGGACACTGGACTGGGGCAGTACCAGGATCACTGCCTTGGGACTGGGAATGGGCTTCTTTCTGCTCTTCACAACGGAAAGAAGAGAAATGATCTTTGGAATCTATTTCTTCCAGGTTGCCAGAGGAGGGTGTCAGTTCTGCCACTGGATGCTGGGAGTCTAAACTTGGAACCATTTTGGCAATCTTCTGGGGCATTCCAAGAGCCTGGGAGGCTTTTGCCCTTCCAAGACCTGCATAGCACTGGGCCAGAAGAGACTCCTTCCAAGCCAGTGCAGAACCAGGGCTGCTTCTGGCAACTAGGTGATTGTCTTCCCCAGTACCTTGTACAGCGCCTCTACCCTGGCTCTGCTCTCTAAGTGGCAGCTGGGGGGATTCTGGCTTGCTGCCTCTATGACCTGGAGGAAGAACTTTTTCCAGAGGCAAGTTACCATGCAGCAGGTGCATCACAAGAGGGTTGGTAACCTCCACTGAAGAAGCAGGCTTAGGTGGGCACATGAACCTGGGCTGGCACTCAGTACTGGACAGCAGCAGGGACTCTGAGATCTTGTGTGGGACTGCACATACTCTAGACACCCAGCTCTGAGAAGCTGCTATCCCTTCTGTCCTTCTAAGCACACTTAGGTTACTGCTCACCTTGGACAGTGAGACATATGAGTCCCCATCCTGCTTTTCATTCCTTCCCACCAACAACCCCTTTGCCACTGTGGTTTCACTTGGATCAACCTCACTGCTGTCCTCAGTGAGGGGGCCTTCCGAGTCAGAGGCTGTATCTGTGGACTCGTTGTGAGGACTGGGTGTTGCAGAGATGCCATTCATCTCCAGCCTTTCAAGGTCTACTTGCTCACTGTCACTGCCAGCACTGGCCACGGTTCCTGGAGGAGGTACTGTCCAGAGTGAAGCGCAGCTCTCAGGGTGGGGCACACTTTCTGTGGCTGCCAATTCCCCAGGCATGGCAGAAATGAGGGGAACAGCTCTTTTCCACTCTTCTCCATTCCGGGGCTCCAGAAACGGTGCGTTTTCTCTGGATTCTGACTCAGAGTCTTTCACTACATCATAATTTGACAGAATGGGTACCCAGGAGGCAGCACTGCCAGATGCAAAAGCCTCAGTTTTCAAAGATTCTTGTTTATCACTTTCCCTTAAGAGGGGGCCTGTGTCACCAAGTCCTAATTCATCATCAGCATGTTTATCCTCTAGGTACTTAGCCAATGATAATTCAGATATAAAAGCAGGTGTCACATTTACAAGCTCTTCCACACTGGGAATATCATCAAAGGCCTGATCCTTTCCTCCTCCTACATCTCCCACCAGAGACTGCACAGGATTCACTGAGGGGACAGCGGATCCTTCATCCTCACTACTCCTCTCCAAGGAAGGGGTACCAGACTTGCATTCAGTTCTACCATCTAGAGGCAACTTAGGCTGCTCTGATAGCTTCTCAGCCACTGGAGTCTGGGAGGACAGTGGTGGCAAAGCTTGGCACGGCCGGTCTCCAGTGGGAGCAATAGGGGGTTGGGAGGCATCTTCCAGCCCACTTGTAAGCACACCTGGGGCCCTCTGCAACAGGCAGCACTCCTCCTTTCTGAGAGAAGCCAAGTTCTCTCCTCTGGCTCTGGGCATGACAGCTTCAGCTGGAGCGTGCTCTTCACTCAGAGGACAAGGCGGCAGTAGTTGTGTTCGCTGTAGATTTGGCGCACCCTTTCCAGAGGTGCTTGGGGCTCCCCTGGGCTCAGAGTGGTCACAGGCCTCACCACCATCATCACTGCCGCCGCCTCTGCCACCTCCCTCATCGATGGCCCCACTGCTACCTCCACCCGGGCCACCCCCCCCTCCGATGGCAGTGGTGGCCGCCTCTCGATGGCAGTGGTGGCCTCTCGCTCCTCGGGCCTGCAAAGCACGGGCTTTAATGTCTGCAAGGGTCCTGGCACCAGTCCAACCCCGGCAGGAGGACTCCGTGATGGGGACGATCCGGGGGCATATCTGGTAAGTGGGCCGACCTTTAGCCACCCAGGGTGGTTTGATACGTGAAAGCTGAATCTGCAAGAAGCATAAATAGCAGTTTTAACAGGGTGGCCTGAACTAGGAAGTACATAGCAAAACTGGAACATAAGTTATCTTAGAGGTCATGGCCAAGAAAACTCAGTTTCCTAAAAATTAAAATAATCATAGTCAAATGGCGACCCATGACACCACTTCATTCTGAGCAGGCTCTACTAAAGAGCTATTTATGCTGCATTAAAATCTCCCCGTCTTTTTCCCTCCTTCGAAATTTGTTTCATTTATTAATTGTGCATACGCAGTATACATACCACAACCACATGTGGAAGTCAGTGGACAACTTGTAGAGTTAGTTTTCTCCTTCTGCCATGAGTCCCAAATCTAGGTCATCAGGTTTGGCAGCAAGCTCCTTTACTCACTGACACAAAGTTTTACCCAAGCTGGCTTTGAACTGGTAGCAATCCTCCTACTTTCGCTTTCCAAGTGCTAGGATTGTATGGGTGAGCCAGCAAACACACTTTTCAAATTTAATTTCTAATTAGACCTTGTGACACATAATAAAACAGTAAAAACTTCAGAGGATTTGGACCTCAAGATAATTTTAATCAAAGTGAAAAAAAGAAATGCATCGTCCTAAGTCGGTCACGGAGAGCTTTCTCACAGAAAGTTCCGTACCCCATGTAATTCATGCCAGGGCCTGAGGGCCTCTGCTCTTGCCCTTCTCCCTGCCCCTGACAAAAAGCTTCACAATCTCATGACCCTCAAAAGAAATCTGGCACTTGGGACTCTAGGTACCAAATTCTCTTACCCGGATGGGCGGGACTTTGGGCTCCTCTTTAGTGGGCTGTGGCTTTTCGGTGTGAACACTTTCAATTGTGTTACGAAAGGACTGACGATCTTCAAGCCGGGGCTTCTTTTCGGGAAAGGACGTGGAGGCTGACGGCTCAAAGGATTTCCTCTTCTGATCCTTTGTCTCTTGAGCCACAGTGTCCTGAGGTAAGCTAGGGATTCTGTCTGGAGATGTAGAGGTACATGCCAAACTGTCTGTTTCTGCTTGGATCCGGGAAGTCACAGGTTCACTGGGACACTTAGGACCCTCCTGTCTGGATGCTGCGGAGGACACATCCGGTCCAGGGGGACTGCTCATCCCTTTTGAGTCAGTCTTAGCATCCCCATCTTTGGAGAGTAAGACATCTGGTGCAGAATTTGCATCCTTAGCAACCCCTGCTTGTTCTGGCTCCTGTTTTTTGTACAGATTCCTTCTGGATCTGGTTCGGAGATCGGGCCGAGAACGTTTCTTAAAGTGCCCATCCCGTTGACGCGTAGTGGGCCCACGCTGCCCACGCTGCGGCCGTGCTGATTCTCTTGGGACACACAATCCACTCTTGGTTTTGGCTTCCTCCTGGCCCACTTTTTGCTGCAGTGATTCTTCTTTGGTCAAACCCAATCTGCAAATCAAACTCACACCATCAATTATAGGCCAGAAAGTGCATATCTTTGTTTCTATGAACAATATGTACCTCAGATAACTTAGCTAGAATGAAAGAAATTTGCATGGCACACAGCACTAATCCCAGAACTTCACCGTGGATAGCATTAAAAAATAAATGAGTCAAGCCACAGTCACCTCCATGCTTTTTTGTAAATACTACCTTCATTCCTTAGTATCCTGGACATCCTGCAGATGCCAAAATCTAAGAATATCTAAGTCCCTTAGACAAAACACCATGTTTGTAATATAACCTACTTGCGTGCTCCTGGATACTTTTTTTGTTTTGTGATGCTAAGAATCCAATCCATGGCCTCCCACATGCCAGACAACCACTCTGTCTTCCCATCATAAGGTTTTAAAAAAATGAGCTCACTTTATATTGTCCAGGCTTGCCTTGATCACTTGACTTGGGTTAAGCCCATCTCAGCCTCGAGTACCTACGTCTCCTAATCTGCAGACCCAGTTTCACTGTTGACATAGCAGTTGTTAAGCTGTGCTGATAAATGCATACTCTCAAAAGTCGCAGTTTCCCCTTACACAATCTCAACTAGTTTGTTGAATCTATGCCTACAGAAGCTGCAGATATGGACGCCAACTGTCTCTGTCCCCGCAAAATGCCCAGACCAGAACTCATAGCACTCAGCGCCTTACTTCTGTCCATAGTAGTCTTCAAAGAACTTTTCCTTCCACTGTTCCACCTTCTTCTCCTTTTCCATTTCCTGCCTTATCCTGACTTGCATCTCGTGAGTAAATTCACCTAAAGAGAAAAGTGACTTCCAGTTAGTAAATTCTGGACACTAACATATCTGTCCTACAGAAATCCAAGTCTTCTGGTTCTAAAACAAGCATTTTGTTTTTGTTTTTCTCCCTATGATTGTTATTGCTGGTGAATTGGAAATTTACTTTCTTAAAAGAGAAATTAGAATTTCCCTGCCTGTCTTGGGGGTACAGACTCAGAGATCCTAGATAAGGAAGTGACGTTGACTGGCATTTTGTTTTTTTGTGTCGTGTACATGTACAAGTATACCTACCTATGTGCCCATGCAAACATGTGGAGGGCAAAGGAAAAATCTTGGCAGGTATCAAAGTTGGTTTCTCTGTTTTAAAGCTTTCTTTCTACTCCTATGTCTCTGAGTGTGTGCCATGTGTGCATGCAGATGCCTACTGAGGCTTGGAGAGGCTGTAAGAGCCCCTACATCGAACATGGGTGTCCAAAACCAAATGCAGTCTCAGAAGAGCAGGGTGTATTCTTAACTGCGGAGTCATCTCTACCCAAATACAGGGTATTTTGATTGAAATAAGGTTTTCCATTGGCCTGGGATTAACCACTTAGGTTAGGCTATTTGGTTAGCAAGCACATCTCCACCTGCCCAGTGCTGGATTGATGACTGTCACTGAGCGGCAAGAGGGCTACCACACAGGTTTTTTTTTGTTTTTTTGTTTTTTTTTTTTTGGTTTGGTTTTTTTTTTGGGTTGGTTCTGGAATCAAAAATCAGGTCTCCATGCTTACATGGTAAGTACCGTACCAGTGGTCCCACCTCCTCCAGCTCCTACCAGGCAGCTTTAAAAGGAACACAACTCCTGTATCTATCAGTGGCCCTCTCACAGCATAACACTGATCAAAACAATAAACAAACGAGAAAAATCTCTCTCTCTCTCTCTCTCTCTCTCTCTCTCTCTCTCTCTCTCTCTCTCTCTGTCTCTCAGTATGTGTGGAGTGTTCTGCCTGCACACCACAAAAGAGGGCACCACATCTCATTATAGATAGTTGTGAGCCACCATGTATGTGGTTGCTGGGAACTGAACTCAGAACCTCTGGAAGAGCAACCAGTGCTCTTAACCTCTGAGCCCCAAAGAACCATTCTTGCTTCATTTATTTATTTATTTTGGTTTTTTCGACACAGGGTTTCTCTGTAGCTTTGGATCCTGTCCTGGAGCTAGTCCTTAGACCAGGCTGGCCTCGAACTCACAGAGATCTGCTTGCCTCTGCCTCCCGAAAGTGCTGGGATTAATGGTATGCGCCACCATCATCTGGCTCCATTCTTTCTTCTTATATAGAAAAAGTTACCACTGCAGACCTGAATACTTACTTGATTCTGAGTCTGCCCATCTGGTGTTCTGGGAGCCTGGATTTCAAGTACTCTCACTACCCTAACTGATAGTTGTGCTGCTCTTAATGCCAACAGAGCTATCCATGCTAATGACACCTGCTTTCCTTTTAGGACTCAATGTCTTATATTAATAGCTCTTGATAAAGAAGATGGTGAAAAATGAGTGCACGGTTTCCTTTTAGGACTATCAACGGTTACCAACAGAATTACCCCAATAAAATCCTGTGTGCCAAGGCTTAGTGGTTGAGAGTTTGGTTCTGAGAATTCCTATCAGATGGTTCCAACTCCAGTCACTACAGCTCCGGGGTCTAACACCTCTGGCCTCTGCAGGCACCTGGACTCATGTGCACATATCCGCATACACAAACATACATACATTAAAAGAAAAAAATCCTGGGTACCAAGCCTTTAACAAACTTCCCTGGTAGACATTTTCACATTGAGATATTCATTTTTCCTGTTTGACTCCGCAGAAAGGACTTCTAAAACCTATGCCTGGCATCTTTTTTTTTTTGTTTTTGTTTTTTTGTTTTTCTGAGACAGGGTTTCTCTGTGGCTTTGGAGCCTGTCCTGGAACTAGCGCTGTAGACCAGGCTGGTCTCGAACTCACAGAGATCTACCTGTCACTGCCTCCCGAGTGCTGGGATTAAAGGCGTGCGCCACCATTGCCTGGCCTATGCCTGGCATCTTACCCGTGTGCCTTCTCCCATTGCTGATTTTTCTTTATATTATTTTGCTGTAATAAATGCCAGTTCTGCACATAAACTCTCAATAATAATAAAACCCAGGGGTAATTTTGGGATCCTCTCCCCCACATTTATCATGAAGCTACTATAGAAAACTAAATTTAGAGAAGCTAACATTTACTCTAAGTGACTATGACAAAAGGAGAGCATGGTGGCACTGAGTATGTCACCTTGGAGTGCTTTCTTCCACACATCTACATAATGCCATTTACTAGAAGGTATACATATATATAGTATTAATGATAAAAAGAACATGTAGAATGGATATCCCTAATATGTTGTGTTTTCAGAGCAATGTATCCTATTAATAACACCATAGTACTGTGAGTAAAGCCTGCCTTACATTAATAATCTTTGAGAAAAAAAGAGTAATAAAAATTAGCACTTGGATCTTAGGCAAAAGCCTAAGAAGTAATAGTGCTTACGTTGTTGTTTAGCGTAATATGTATGGCTGTTTTGTCTGCATGTAAATCTGCGCACCGTATACATGTCTAGTACCTCAGGAGGAGGCCAGAGAGGACATAAGATCTAAGAAATAGAGTAATAGACAATTCTGAGTTTCCATGTAGGTGCTGGGAATTGAAACTGGGTTGGAATAGCTTTTTTTTTTTGAGACAGGTTTTCCTGTGTAGCCCTGCCTATCCTGGAACTGAGAGATCTGCTTGCCTCTGCCTCCCAAATGCTGGGATTCATGGCGTTCACTGCCACCACCCGGTGGCAGGCAACATTCTTAACCTCAGAGCTACAAAATCCCACACACACCAGGCATCTGAAGCCACGTGTGATGGAGTCTACTCACCATCAGCAAGGCGCTCTCGCCAGCTCTGAGCTGCATGGGTGAAAAACTCGTTATTGAGTGCACTGCTGCTGAGGCGCAACAGGCCATCTGTCCCCACCTAGGGGGCAAGGGACAAAATGAAAATAGTAAGCAACTACAGAGAACAGGAGCCCGCCTAGACAGAGACCAAGAGGACCCGTGCGCTGGCACCTGTCTGTCTACTTCAGGCAGAAGGAAGAGGAGTTGCTGCTGGAAGTGCGATGGCAGGGCATGGAAGGTCCGAGAGTTTATCAGAGCACGGAGGTTGGTATTGACAAGAATGGATCCAGGTGTCTCAAAATCTACCTCTTCCCCTCTGTTGCGCTTCATCTGACCTGCAGTTTTGGAAGTAAGGGTATAGATTTTCAGCTTAAACAAAAAATAAATAAACAAAATCAAAATCCTGAGACTACTCAGGCTTGCCTCCTCCAGGATCAAAGCCTGAGGAAGACACTTTCCCCAAGAAAAGCAGATAGAGGTTGGAGAACAAGCTCCACAAAGTCAAACTGGAGAAGCAAATCTAGTCAGTATACTACAGAAACACCTACAAAGAAGGCTTTGTGAATGAGGTATGTTCTACAGGCAGACATGTACTAAGAGTTATTCAAAGCCAAGTGAAGGGTCATACTTCTTTGAAGTATGTAAACACTATTTTTTTTTTTTTTTTTTTTTTTTTTTTTTGTTTTTCGAGACAGGGTTTCTCTGTGGTTTTGGAGCCTGTCCTGGAACTAGCTCTTGTAGACCAGGCTGGTCTCAAACTCACAGAGATCCGCCTGCCTCTGCCTCCCGAGTGCTGGGATTAAAGGCGTGCGCCACCACCGCCCAGCTGTAAACACTATTTTTATTTGAAAAAAAAAATCACTATATAAGAGACCTGGAGATTTTGGATTACGTACTGCTACTAAAATGCAAGTGCATCAAAAGAGTAAAGGCTCATTTCCACTTAGGAATGACACAGAATTCTAACTTTCAGAATCCATAGCTATTTTTACAATGATTTCATACAGCCCAACTACAAAATGACCAAAGACAGCAGGGTGGGTTGGTCTTTCTTTCTTTCTTCCCTCCTTCCTTTCTTCTTCCTTCCTCCCTTTCATCCATCCATCCATTCATTTTTTTCACCCTGGAGACAGGGTTTCTCTGTGTAGCTTTGGTGCCTGTCCTGGAACTAGCTCTGAAGACCAGGCTGGCCTCAAACTCATAGAGATCCACCTGCCTCTGCCTTCAAGTGCTGGGATTAAAGGTGTGTGCCACCACCACCTGGCGCAGGGTGGGTTTCTTAAAACCAATCCTGAAATAGCAAATGGCATACTAGTCTTATAGATAGCCATACTGAGTTTGTTTGCATGCTCCAAATTCAATACACGTTCCCACTCAAGACAATGCCTAGGCTAAAATAACACAGTGTCTGTCTGGATGTCGAGTATAAGCAGAGAAGGATGCTACACCCTGCAAAAATGGACTTGGGGATCCTTCATGAAGAGAGCAATTCAAACACTTATGAAGCAGGTATGGGCCAGACAGTACAGGGACGGACAAGAAGCTATGTGACTATTTCTGCCTACAGGAGTTTACTCACATGAAATATAAGGAAAAACACCAAACAAAAAATAGCGGGTCACCCAAGAAGTAAAATTAAACTGAAAGAGAAACTGGAGAAGAAGATAGCATCTTTTTACATTCAGGCCTGCAGAAGGCTCTCTTAAAGGCAGAGAAACATATGGCAACCCACTCACCTGTAGCTGGTTTTCGGAAGCCTCTCAGGAGTGGGGCAGGATCCCGGGTGACCTCAGCCTGACCTCGAATAGCAGTGCTGCCCAAGGCCAGAGAGCTGCTACTGCTGCTAGATGGGCTGCCACTCTCACCATCGGCATGCCGGCTTGAGAACCCTGAGGGCACAGCATCCCGCTGGTCAAAAGCATCACAAACTATACCTATCAGACAAGCTTAGTTCTCCCAACTCTCCCTGATATGCTCTGGCTCCTAGCCCTGGCTAGCAGAGACTACCACCTCATGGCGTGGCATTGAAGTATCACTAAAGAACACCAAAACACAGCTTTCATGCCAAATTACAAAGCAGTGGCAGTCATCATCAGATGTTCAGAGCTGACCCTGGAGGTGAGAGGAGGGTGTATGGAAGAACCCAACACAAAGCCCTCACCACAATAATAAATACACTGCCTTCCTGGGTTTTCATGGACTCAACAACTCTACTGCTATCATACTGCTAAGTCAAAAGCTGCTGACGCAGCCTGGTCTCCAGAACCCTAGGAAAAAGTACCACAACTATTAAGGCCACACATACCTGATGCAGATTCCACGTGGGCCCCGTTTACCTTCAGAGGAGTCAGGACAACACGAGGCAGCATGACCCCCGTCTTTTTCTTTTGTTTGTTTGCCTGTGTTCCCAGGAGGGATTTAAAAGAAGAAAGGAGTCACCCACAGTGCCACTACAGCACTCTTTGGCTTTGTGCTACTCATTCACTTTTGAATTCATGTGAAGGGTTAGTGATATGGGCCCAACAGCTAAAGGCACTTGCTGTACAAACCTGATGGCCTTTGTTCTATCCCAAAATCCAACAGGGGAAGAAGAGAACTGACTCTCCAAAGTCGTCCTTTAACTTCCACAAACTGGTAAGTGAGAAACACCCCCCCCCTTTTTTTTTGAGACAGCCCTAGCTGTCCTGGAATGCTCTTGTAGACCAGATTTGCCTCAAACTTAAGAGATCCATCTGCCGCTGTCTCCCAAGTGCTGGGACTAAAGGTGTGCGCCACCACCACCTGGCTTTAAGCTTTATAGTAGGGTCTGAAGAGATGGCTTAGCAGTTAAGAACACTGGCTTCTCTTCCAGAGTATCAGGGTTTGATTCTCTGTATCCACATGGCAGATAGCAAGCATCTCCAAGCCCCAGTTCCAATGTATATGATTCCTTTTCAAGTTCTACTCCAGACAATATATATATATAAAACATAAACACACTCAAGCAAAACATTCAGATGCATAAAATAAAAAGAAATAAATCTTTAAAAAAAAAAAGAGTTCATATGCACACAAACCTCCCAGGCAATATTAATACAGGTATAAGCCAATATCAATGCACCAAGCACACCCCTCAGCTGATTTACCAAAAAAAAAAAAAAAAAAAAAAAAAAAATCATATACCATTGTTCCCATTCTATAGATAAGGAACTTGCCACAATTGGAAATAATAGGGGGCTGAGAATAGAGCTCAGTGGTAGAGTGTTTACCTAGCTTGCACAAAGCCCTGAAGTCAATCCCCAGTACTGCAGAAGAAAAGTAAATTGGCAGGGTCATCTTCTAGCCCCTCCCCCGCCCCTCAAGAGAGAGTTTTTGTGTAGCTTTGGAGCCTGTCCTGGAACTCACTCTGTATCCCTGGCTGGTCTTGAACTCACAGAATCCACCTGTCTCTACCGCCCGGGATTAAAGACGTGTGCCACCACTGCCTGGCTAGGGTCCTCTTTCAAACCGCTGCCTCTGAAGTTCATGTTCTCATACTCTCAATGCACTGCAACACGTTCCTGGACATTTACAAACACAGTATAAGTACGAGCAGGATGAGGTAACTATGGTGGCACATATCTGTCATCAAAGCCCTTAGGAGTAGCTAGGAGACAGACAGGAGGATCAGGAGTTCAAGGCCATCATTTGCTACAGAGCAAGTAAGACTAGCCTGAGCTATGAGAGCTGAGGAAAACAAAAAAGGAGGAAGGAAAAACATAATTAGAGCATGGTGGTGGTAGTGCACCCTTTAATCCTAACACTCAGGAGGCAGAGGCAGGTGGATCTCTGAATTTGAAGTCAACCTGGTCTATAGAGTGAGTTCCAGGACAGCCAGGGCTACACAGAGAAACTCTGTATTGAAAACCCAAAATAACAACACCACCACCATCAACATAATTACCTAGATACTACTCTCAGGCCTAATATGCAGTTCCCTACAGCCTGCTTCTAAAAATGTTACCAGGAGTGGTGTATGGTAGTATCTATCTTTAATTCCAGCACTGGGAGGGCAGAGGCAAGCAGATTGCTCTGAGTTCAAGACTAGCCTGGTCTACATAGCCAATTCAAGGCTAGCCAGAACTACACAGTAAGACTCTGTAACAAAATGAAGTAAAATGCTGTAATAACCAACTTTCCTGTCTCCTTTCTTCAACCATATGTTCTGACATCTGAAGATGAAAGAACCCTGTTATGTGTCTGCTCTCACCAACCCACTCTCTTATCCTGTCACCAATACGCCCTATTACCTGTAAGGAAGCCCTGTGGCTGTCCCTGGGATTGGAAAGGGGACGGCTCTGAGACTCTGTAGAACAGGATGCATTTGACGATGTTTCATCCAGAGATACTGAAGATAGGAAACAACAGTTAAGTCCCTAGGAACCACCTGGTCTCCTCCCGTCTCTTGCCCCAGCACTTACCATCATTTTCACCACTCACAGTGCTGGTTTCATTAGACCCACAGCTTTCCACATCAGCCGAGTCCTCTGGTTCTTCTCCATCCACTGCAGCTACATTTCGAGACCACTGCACAGCATCCTTCTGTTAAAGTTAAAACTCAGGTGAACAAACCTTTCAAATCCACAAACACATCGCACATTTCTAAATATATTTTTTTGAGCCTCAAATCCAAGAAAACTCTTCTTACATAAGAGTTTTTGGGGTCCTTGACCTTTCAACCACTGTGTGTTCACTGAAGCCAGCTTGTTTCTGATAGTCTGGGCTCTGATTCTGTTTTCAAGAAGCTAAGAGGATTCATATGCTCCTTTTCTCTGATGTCTCCCAGCATTTGCAATCATTACAGGATGCAGAGGGAAAAGGCCAGAAAAACCCAGACGTTTCTCCACAGGCTTAGATCAGTACCATTGCCAATCCAATGCTGGATCCTGTGGGAGTTCAGACAATGGGTCACCTGAGATACAGAGGCCAAGAAGAGGGGCCAAAGTTTGGTCAAAGCTTCAAGGACATAGCTTAAGTTGTCTAAACTGTTTTTAAAGCTGTCTAAATAATCTATTATGGGGTAGGAAGTGCTACTAGTGTGCACATGCAGGTCAGGACAGCTTTGTGGAATTGGTTCCCTCCTTCCACTTTTACATGGGTTCTGGGGATTGAACTTAGGTCATCAAACTCAAATGGCAAGAACCGCAAGCCACTGAGCCATCTCACAAGCAGGCTCTTAAGCTGAGTTTTAAAGAAGCCAGCTACAGGCAGATGGGTGGGCCAAAGAAACATAGGAAAGTTCTAGATACTGGGAAGAGTAAATACGTCAAAATCAATACCCAGATTTCAGTAGGGATATGGAGAACTGTGTATACAAGAAGTGAAGCTAGAGACAGCGAGAAGACTGATGTGGAACCGCTGTGGAGGACCTGACACTGTGGAGACTATTAATGTTTACATTATAAGAAAGCTCAATAGGAGTTAGGAGGAAGGTGTGTGTGTGAATATGATCAAAACATGAAATTCTCATAGTACTAACAAAATGCTATTTTTACAAGTTTATGAGCCAGGCGGTGGTGGTGCATGCCTTTAATCCCAGCACTTGGATCTCTGTGAGATCGAGGCCAGCCTGGTCTATAGAGCTAGTTTCAGGACAGGCTCCAAAAGCTACAGAGAGAAACCCTGTCTCAAAAACCCAAAAAGGAAAAAAAAAAAAAAAAAAAAAAAGCTATGCATTTTATTTATGTCTATCTGCATGTACATCTGCATACCAAAAGAGGGCATGAGGTGGCATGGGTCTACAATTACCTACTGTTGTGAGTTGCCATGTGGTTGCTGGGAATTGAATTCAGGACCTCTAGAAGAGAAGTCAGTGCTCTTAACCATTGAGCCGTATTTCTAGGCCCAGAATGTTCTTTTAAATCTTAAAAAAGAAAACAAAAGTTCACTGGCCAACCTAAACACTCCCAACAGTACTCACTGTATCAGCTCCAGCGCCCCCACACCCCCCCCCCATTCACAAAGAGTTGGTGTTGCCATACTATGGTCAGGGCAGTACTTCATGGCTTTAATTTTGATCTTCATGTAAACTAAAGATGTTTGTACCAACCTCCCAACTGCTACAGATGGAACCCAGATCTCAAGAATGTTCGGCAAGCAGCACTCCACCACTGGCCAACACCCCAGCCTTGTTGGGCACTATGTTTTTTAATGTCCTCATTAGTTATACCCTGTCTTCCTATTTAGAAGATCAACTTTGTAGAAAGCTTGTTAAATACCACAAACATCTCCAATGCAGTTTTTTTTGCCCTCACCTATTATTTATCTAAATATTATTTTATACAAATCCTCTATTATGTTTTAATTTATTGGTGGGGGCACATACATGTGGGGTTAAGGACAACTTTCAGGGTCAGCTCTCTCCTTCCACGTGTAGGTTCTGGGATCAAACTCAGGCCATCATGTTTAGCAATACAAGCCTTTGATCAGGCTCCATAAATGCTTAAAATGTTTAAGCATCAACTAAGGTAGAAAGATTGCAGGTTCAAAGCCTGTCTGGGTTACATAGCCAACTCCAAGTCAGGCAACGAGATCCTGCCAATAAATAACTGTAGTAAAACCAACTGAAAAAAAAAAAAGGAAAAAAAGAACCATCAGCAATAACCATAAAATATGCTTCCACAAGTGAAATATTTTTAAAAAGATAAGCAAGGTCTGGGGAGATTGTGCAGCAGTCAAGAGCATGTACACTGTTCTTCTGGAGACCCAAGTTCAATTCTCAGCACAACTGCCTGATTCTCCATGACACCTGTGGCCTCAGTGGGCACCTGGACATATTTAAGAAAATGAAAATCTTAGGAAGGATTTCCTTTGTTCATGAATCTGATAAACCTTTGTTCAGCAAGAAGCAAGTACTCTCAGAAGGCTAATTCAAGGTTGCTTACTACAAGGAATTAATCTTTAAGAAACTTAAAGACCCTTCAACAGTACACTTCAGTTCCTAACCAGTGCATAAAAAAGGAGAATCAAGATTAGAAGAGACAAGCACAATTCATTTTCCACAATAGTGTACATCTATCCACACTGAGGATTCAAGAGACTCGGGTCTGCTGAACAGAATCAATCATACTGTGAGGGTCAAGATCACATGCAAAAATCAAGCAACATAAGCTGGGAATATAACTCAGTTTGTAAGAGTGCTTGCCTGCCTAACATCCGTGAATCCCTACAATCTGAACACTTGGGAGATGGAGGCGGGAGGACCAGGAGTTCAAGATCACACTGATAACAATGAGTCTCAGTATAGCCTAAAGTAATTGCTTGAGACGCCTCATTCATAAATATTCTTCTAAAGAAAACAAACCAGAAGCAGCTCAGGTAGGGGAATACTTGAGGGGCCAGCCTGGGGTCCTCAAGGTCCAGGCTGCCTGAAGGCATCGACAGGCTGGCCCAGTGCCCTCAGGGTGGGATACCATTATGATGAGCAAGTGTGTGGTGAACTAGGAGAGAAAGGGAGGTGAAATGGTGTGTGCTGTGTTAAGAGGCAATTCTAAAGAAGCAAGAGCAGTGAGGGATGGGCTGATGTTGGTGCCTGCTTGCCACCTGAACCTAGTGTGACGTTGGTCCTACTGCAGCCAGGGTTTGTACTGATGTTCATGTACCATGTTGCCACCAAGGCCATGGGGATGCCTGGGGTCTGGGCTGCCACCTGTCGCCATTTTGGTGTCTTGAGGGTCATGCTGCAGCCAGGGTCATACAGAACTGAATGCCTGCACTACCATAGATGCCATGTCTGGGCCCATGGCCCTACTGTAGCCAGGGTTTGTATTGATGTCTGTGGTTCCTGATACCACTGAAGGCCATGACAATGCCAGGGGACTTGGCTGCCACCTGGGGCCATGCCAAACTGCATGGCTTGTGCCCTGGTGACATCAAAGCCTGGGCTGCTGCTGAGGACCATGTCTAGGTCCATAGCCTACCACAACCAGGGTAGTGATGCCAGTGGTCCATGGTGCCACCAAATGCCACATGGAAACCTGGGGGTCTAGGCCATAACCTGTGGTCCTGCTGACACTGGAGGGCCATGCTGCCACTGAAGCCACACCAACCTGGGGCGACAGTGCTGTCTTGGCCAGGGTCTGTGTTGATATTGTAGCTACTGATAATGTCGAAGCTGTGCCAATGCTGGGGTCTGGGCCACCACCTGGGACCGTGCCAATCCGAGAGGCCTGTGCTTCCACTTGGGGCCATGGTGACATCTGAACCCAGATGACCGGTGAAGATATCTGTGTCCAAGGTCCTACCACAACCAGAATCTGTGATCCTAAAACAATCAGGTTCCAAGGCCTGTGAGGTCACATGTCTAGGTTGCATCCTGTGGCATGTTGGTATCTGAGGACCTTGTCGCTGCCACATTGGGTCATGGTGTCGTCCAGACACAGGCTGCTGCTTAGGGCCATGTCTGAGTCTGTGAGCCAGCAGCAGCAAGGCTCTGAATTGATATCCCTGGCTCCTATTAAAAAAAGGGCTGTGTGGATGCCTGAGGTCTGGACAGCCACCAGAGAGCATGTTGGTGTCTGAGGGCCACCTTGCTGCCTCCATGGTAACACCCAGGTCTAAGCTTCTGCCCAGGGCATGTCTGGGTCTGTAATCCTGAGGTAGCTAGGGTGTGATGATGCCCACGGTCCGTGTTGCCACGGGTATTATAGGAGCCATGCCTGTTTAAATCTGAGGGCCACACTGAGCTGGCCCCATCCCTCACTAGCCCTGCCCTAGCTGGACATTGCAAATGTAGAGCCCCACCCCACCCTTGGCACTTTTGGATAGATGGCCCTTACCAGGAGTGTGGGAGAGCTCTGCCACTTACCTGAGGGGGTCGGTCCCAGTGGGCTATTCTCAAGGTACTAATGGATTTTAAGGAACCTCAACATAGTTACTAATTTGCAATATGTAAAAGCAGTTGCTTTGCATATTGAAACCACTGAATTTATACCAGATAATACAAAATTGACTTTATTATTTATTCAGTTACAAGAAATAATGAGGAAGAGGAATCACTCCATATACATAACACATATCTGATCCCATATTGGTATGCCAGGTTCTCTAGCACAAGCTAATGCAGAAATTGATCAATTATCAATTGGAAATGTGCTGAAGGTCTCAAAATTTCATTAAAAATATCATGTCAATAGCAAAAGTTTAAAAAAAGACCTTTTCATCATGTAGCAAAAAGCCAAGGAAATTATAAAGGTAATGTCCTACTTGTTCTTTTTTTTTTTTTTTTAATTGCTGGAGCCCACATGGCTTGTCCTTTCTTTTAAAAAAAATATTTATTTATTAGGTATACATTATTCTGTTTGCTTGTATGCCTGCAGGCCAGAAGAGGGCACCAGACCTCATTACAGATGGTTGTGAGCCACCATATGGTTGCTGGGAATTGAACTCAGGACCTTTGGAAGAGCAGGCAATGCTCTTAACCTCTGAGCCATCTCTCCAGCCCTCCTACTTGTTCTTTATATAACCAAACACCATTACCTGCAGGAAGTAACCAAAAGGGTATTCAAAGGAATGAAATCTGGCAGATGGATGTGTTCCACTTT